GGGAAGGGGAGGCGGAGCCGAGCAGGGAGAGGGGGAGGAGGAGGTGAGAGGCGGGATGGAGACCTGGAGTTAGGTGGCTTCCTGGAGAGAGAAGTGGGGGTATGGATTAGAAACCCAGAGGTAGCCCCCGAGGCAAGCCGAAGGCAGAGGGGAGCCGGGCGATCTGGAAGCAGAGGGCAGGGGAGGGTTGGGGAAAGGAGAGGACGGAGGAGGCGCGGAGAAGGGAGAGGAGTGGAGTGGGCTGGGAGGGTCTCGGTCCCCGCTGCCTTGGCATTTGGGGAACTGGGGCTCCCTGTGGGAAAGAGAGGAAGCCTGGAAGTCCTGGAGGGACAGGGTCCCAGAAACAGGGGAGGGAGGAGCTGAGAGGGCAGGGCATAGGGAAGGGGTCGCTGGGAGGCCTCCGAGGGATGGGGGGTGCGGCTCGGCTGAGCGCCCCCGAGGGATGGGGGGTACGGCTCGGCTGAGCGCCCCTCGAGCGCTGGTACTCTGGGCCGCACTGGGAGCGGCAGGTAAGGCCTGGGGGTCTGGGCAGGAGCCCCTGAGGGGATGGGGTGGGGACGGAGGTGCCCAGGAGAGGGACGCTCTCTTCCCAGCGCACATCGGACCCGCACCTGACCCCGAGGACTGGTGGAGCTACAAGGATAATCTCCAGGGAAACTTCGTGCCAGGTGCAGCCAGGGTGGGGACCCAGAGCCCAGACCCCCCCACGCCCAGCACCTCCTTCTTCCGACTCTGGAGTCTGGGTCCCCAGCCCCTCCTCCCCTCAGGACCAGGAATCCCAGCCCCCTCTCCCTCCCTCAGGAGCCGGGCCCAGCCTCTGAACCCCGCGGCTCACCATGGGACATTATACATGCGCATTTCAAGTAGCGAGTGGGAGTGAGTGGAAGGAAGGAGAGCGTGGGGGTGGAGAGCAAGGGCGTGTTTGCAGGGAGAGGCAGGTCCTGGCTCCTGCGGGATGCCAGAGGCTCCGTGGCCGGACCTCCGCCTAGTCCGGGTCTCTCGTCCAACTCTTCTCCCCATTCATTTATTATCCAGCTGTGGGACAAGGAGGATAGAAAGAACTACAACTCCCATGGGGCTCTGGGGCAGACAGGCCGTGGATGGGCTGGCTGGTTGCCCCGCAGCCTGCTGGGAGTTGTAGTTCCTCCCATAATGACTTAATTTGAAATGGATCGGCTCAGGAACGGCCTGGAGGTGCTGGGGGTTGGAGGAGGGCGGTGGTCTTAGGAAATTATACCAAGTTTCTTCCGGGACCCACTTACTCAGACCCAGGAGTCCAGGTCCCCAGCGCCTTCTCCCCTGGGATGTAGGAGTCCAGACCACAGCCCAGCAGGTCGGTGCTGTTTCCTGACTCTTCTTCCTCCTACCCAACCCCTGTTCTCAGGGCCTCCCTTCTGGGGCCTGGTGAACGCGGCCTGGAGTCTGTGTGCCGTCGGGAAGAGGCAGAGCCCTGTGGATGTGGAGCTAAAGAGGGTCCTTTATGACCCCTTTCTGCCCCCGCTGAGACTCAGCACTGGGGGAGAGAAGGTAAGGCGTCCAGCGGGAGGAATGGCCTCGCCCTCCGCGGTGGGGATGGGTGGGGTAGGGGGATGCCGAGTTCATCCTTGGGGATGAGGGGGTACCCATTTGGGTGGAGAGAAGGCTCCTTACAGTCTGAAATGATCACCTTCCTCTGCCAGACAGGGCTCCTAGTGTCCTTCTCATGTCTAGGAGCAATGAGAAACTGTTTCCCTGGGTCAGGTTAACCCTGCGATAAACCCTGTGCTTCTCCCAACCCCAGGGAAGGGCTGCTGGTTTTAGTCTTATTTTATGGATGCAGACACTGAGGCACAGAGAGGTTAAGTTACTTGCCCAGGGTCACGCAGCAAGAGTGCCAGTGGCAGGATTCGAACCAGGCACTGATACCTATTTTGCAATACCATCTTCTTTCCCCCTTCTTTCTTTTTCACTGTCAGAGATTGCTTGCACTCACCAGAGAGAGAGAGGGTACCCCTCTCAGTGGGGGGACTTGGGCACAGCCACACATGTGGGCAGCCTGGTTTTCAGGTTGCCAGGGCCCAGGACTAGCGGTCAGCCATGTGGGTTCTGCTTCCAATGTGCAGGGCTTAACCATTGCACGATGGGACTGGCCCAAGAACATTCCTTTTTTTTTTTTTTTAAGAATTTTTGTATGGGGAACCAGCAGTTAGTGTAATGGCTATGTCACTGGAC